TATGTATAGCACCGCACTATATATATTAAAATTTAAAGATAATAAGTGGGCCTTATGCAAATGCATGAGAGCTACGTGGACATAAAAAATGCTACAAACCACTTAAAAACTCGCGACACTTCCCACCTCACCTCTTCCTCCTCCTCCACCACTACCGCCGGGACACCGGTTTTCACCTCAATAAATATATTGAAGTCTCAACCATCGCTTAGTTCTTGTTTTTGTCCTCTTCTGATTATCTCTTCCTCATTAGAAACAGTAACGGAAATCGGAGAGGAAAAACATCAGGAATTTAGTGGAAACGCCTGGGTTCCTCCTTGGTTCTCCATCAACAACAGTTGCTGAGTCAGGTACCTTTTTGGTCTCCGGGACCCATTTGATTGATTTTGCTTTCTCAAGGTGGTTCTCTTGATTTTATGCAATTTTTCGTTATTTTAGCTACGGTGGATCTCGGAAAATCCGCAAGACCCATGTGATATTTCTGGGGATTTTTTTGGGTTTTCACTGTTTTGGTTACGTTATCGTGCATTTTTGGGAGAGAAGGAGGGATCGGAGTTGACCCAGGTTGGGGATTTTTATAAAAGTTTTTAATTTTATTGGGTTTTATCGTCTTGCATTTTGGGTTTTAATCTATTAGCTTCTTTTGTTCAAGATTGTTCCCCAATATTTCCGATTGTAGCGTATTCAAGTTAAACATCGATGACAGATTTGCCAATTATTGACTAGTGAAGGAAGGAAGGATTTTTGGTTTTTTAATTCTTTGGTTTCCTCCTCATGTACTGGTATAAGTAGTGATATTGAATTTTGACGACTTCTGGAAAGCCCTTTTATTTTCGCTTTTCAAATTTTGGCTTGATTTGCTTTTCTATTTGGTTTATGATCTGTGAATGTGTCAAAAATTGGTGCTTCCTTAATGGAAAATGCATTGGTGTGTGGAGCTGCTTCCTAATTCAGCTTGCATTGTTTGGCATTTTGATCTGCAGTTGTTGCTTTATCAGCATTTTGTTGTCATGTTGATCTATAGTATTTTTGCTCTAAGCATTTGGTATGAAAGCCATTATATGTTTTAGAACTCAAGTGCCTGATGTTTTGGACATTTCACTTATTTCATATAAATAGCTATTGGTTTAAGTTGATATTTTCCACTTATCTTAGTTGAAAGGTTTTACTTCTGGCTGAGATTCTGTAGCTCCAACATTGAGTTTCAGTGGAAATTTGATATAATTGTTTAGCGCTTCACAGATTTTTTTGGGGGTAAGATTTTGGTCCTGATGCAAGGTCGAGGAGGTGCCATTAATTCCTTCGTGGACACAGTCAACGTTGATCAGGGATCTGCTCCCAATAATACTAGAATGGTTCAGCATAACTCTTTGAATAACATGTTGAGTCCAGTTGAAACCAGGCTGTCCAATTATGCAGTAACTTCTGGTGGGGCAATGCAAACCAATGTATTTACTGATGAAGTTCAGAGTTTTGGTGGCTGGAGTTCTGGTGAGTCTAGCTCCAGATTAAGCCTGGAAAACCCAGTTAATGACGGCGAAATAAAAATGGAGTGTGGTTGGTCTCCTCCTCCATTTTATGGTGTCCATTCTGGGGCTGGTCCAAGGTCAGAAGGGAGGCAAATTCAACCAACAAACATTCTTTTTCCTGAGAGAGTTAATAATGGACAAATTGGCAATTGGGTTAGAAATGGATCCATGTATTTTCAAGGTTCCAGCTCCAATCATATTCCACTGAATTTGAATCTAAACGAAGGATATACTGGCAGTAGTGCTAGCAATCAGCCAGGTGTGGCAGCCAGCATAGGTCCTAATCTCCATAACTCAGCTGGTCTAGAAAGAGAACGGACATCTAATGCTTTTGACAATGTTGGGAGTTCATTTGGCAGCTCAAATTACATGGTGGAGGAAAATAGTAGTGGCTCTGCTTTGGGCAGTTGGGGTTTATCTTGCAAAAGAAAAGCCCTTGAAGGTACATCAGGACAGGCTTATTCTGATGGTAGTTCAAGCTGCTCCCAGCAAGTTGAAAATGGTGTATGGCATGCAGGTCCTGCTCGCAATGATACTTCTAGCAGCATGAGTTTATCTACACATTCTCAAGTTATTCCTCCAGATCAGCTGAACCTGAGAGTTGGTTTTGGTTCAAGAGAAGTAACCACTGCTGCTTTTCCTTCTTCAAGTGTTAGAAGAACAAATCCAGGAAATCAACAAGAATCTTATCCACTTAGTCTATCTTCAGCGGCAGTCTCTAGGCACTCCACTTTTACCTCAGCCAATCAGTCACCTAGACCTGCCCCATATAATGGCTCTTTAGATTTAAGATCCACAGCTACAGTTGGGGCAAATTCAAGTCCTCCTCAGAATCAGCCTTGTGCAATGCATATTTCTGCTGGCAATTTGCCTCCATTTTGGGCTGGTGCTTTTAGTTCACCAGCTGGCAATCTATCTATTAATGCTCGGGATAGAGGTGCTGGCTTACAGGAGGAAGCAAACATACGAAATGTCCCAAGAAACAATGCAGAAAATCCCATGTTGATAACTGAAAGTGAGACAAGAAATATGGCACAAGATCCAACGGGCTGGACTCTGGCCTCTGGTACTGTTACCACATCTGAAGGTGTTCCATCTTCTACTCGAACTGGAGCTGGTTCAAGCATCCATCCTCCCCATACTCCCTGGGTTTCCCTTCACATCCCTTCAGTGCATAGTCAACAAAGACTATCAGAATTTTCTCCTTGGTCTTTATTTCCATCTATTGACTCTGAAGCTGCTGTACATAGTGGTAATTTTCCCCAGCAGCCTGTAGGCCCTTCTTTATCCTCACAAGAGATGGTAGGGTCTGGATCTAGTAGCCAAGGTAATATTCCACCATATTCAAGGTCAGCATCCTTGTGGGAAAGGCAAGGAGATGAAATTCTCGGGATGCCACATTCTCTGCGAGCTTTAGCTGTGGACATTGAAGGAAGGCACCAGCTAGTATCAGAGGTAGGTGTTCTGAATAACTTTGGCACTCTGAATTTGCTTTGGATTTTCTTTTAATGCTGATGTTTGGGTTTCATGATAACAACACTGGCATTTCTACAATTTCCATGGTTATAAACTGATGTGGATCACATGATGGTCTCTGCCACAGTACTGATACAACATCTTGTTTTTGTTTAATCTAAAAACATGTGAATATGGTTCTAACTTTTTGTTGATTTTGTTGGATCACATTATGGTCTCCGCCACAATACATCTTGTTTTTGTTCAATCTAAAAACATGTGAATATGATTGTAACATTTTTGTTGATTTTGTTCTTATCATGTCCTTTCTACATCTCTTTTCTTTTCTTTTCTTTTTTTCTATGAATCCTCTTTGGTAGGCATTTAGAATTTATCTCTTTTAATTGTCATTATTCTAATTGGACTGACATTGAAAAGGCTTGAGTTGGTTCAGTGAATTTATCTCCAATTTGTTTCAATTTAATTACAGTTGATTTAGTTTTATAAATTGTTTTCCCTATTCCTAGATGTAAGAGAGGGAGATTAGCCAATTCTATAGGGCATTATGTGTGATCCCGCATTTTTGTTATTAGGTTTTAGCAACCTTTAGTGACTAGGGGTTCTTTGCCATGGACACATTGGTGCTTCTGCTGCCGGTGCGCAACGTTGTGGTATAGGAGTGGACTTAAATATGTTGGACATTAAGGAGTTATTAGTTTGAAGTCAACTCATATTAAGTATTTAAAGAAGACACAAATAACTATTTTCTTAGGGGCATCTTTTGGGACTGGCGTATAGCTTGCTTGTAGAGATTATTTTGAGAAAAAGTTTCATAAGTTGGTATTTAATTTGTTATTTTATGAGCATAAGGGATAAAGACATGATGTTTCATTGCTTTTGGATAGCTTTGTTTCACATCATCTCTCATCAAGTCCAATAGCTGATGGAGGGAATGATAAACTGCCTGCTGCCAGTATAAATCATGTGGTGTGTTTAGGATCGTTATGATGCTATCTATTTTTCCCTTGTAGAGTAGAGGAATCCCATATTAGAGATGAAATTGCAAATTTGCAAGTACCATAGATGTTCTGATGGGTTTTTATTAACTTTTTTAACTTGTGCTCCTTTTTTAGGAAAATTAATGATAAAACCCTCATGTTAACTAAAGAAAGAGGATAAATTCCTTAACTGTCATTAGATCCTTCAATCTTGAAGGAGAAAAGCAATTCTCCTGATGCTTCACACAAGGATGATAATTTTTGTTCACTTTGTTATAAATATGCATTATATAAAATGTAAGGGGTAATGGATATTTCTAATAGAGTAATAGTTACCTTTGAAAGTGACATACTTGCTCATTGTTGGTTTTCAAATAGATTAACTTTTATTATAAAAAATCCAAGGAGGACAATTCTTATCTAACCAATCTACTAATGATAGCTTGTGTATTCTTAGTTATGCAAAAATAGTTTTTAACTAGTCTCGCTCCTTTGCCTTCATTGAAAAGTTTTTAATTAGATTGCTCTATTCTTAATGTTTTGTTACTATTATTGATTGTTTAACCAGTTAAATTTGTTCAATTTCTTCTGTGTACCAGATTCGTCAAGTCTTGAATGCCATGCGCAGGGGGGAGAACCTACGTATTGAGGTTAGAAGTTATTTTGTTTGGAGATGCTTTGATAGTTCTCTTTTTATTGGTAAAAGCATGTTCTTGTGGTCAAAGGCCATGGTTCACATGCAAGTTGAAATACTTCGTGAGTTATAGAAATTTTATTTCTTATTTGTGGCACTGAGTTTTGGGTACTAGTTAGATAACAGCATTTTGGAAAAATGATTCAACTAACAAGAGTTTAGTTGAGTTGGTACCCACTAACTAAGAAACCTTGACTTGGTGTCTAGGCATTACTTGAATACAAATGAAACTAGATTTAAATGCATAGTTGCAAAATTCAAGAAAGGCACATACATCTTAATTAGAACCTAAAACACTTGAACATAATTATAAGCAATGTATGTAGCTGTGTAGAAGTACTAAATACTTGTAAAGTAATTAAACATTATCCCTAAATATGTCCCATATAATAAATTTTAAGGAATGTGGCTGTTTTGCTTCCAAAGACCCTGAACTTTCATCCCAACTCCTATGCTCCTGCATTATTCTCCCGGCCTTCATCCCTAATTTATAAGTATTTAGTACCACACAGCTACATACATTATTTTATAATTATATTCAAGTTTTTTAGCTTTTAATTTTTAATTTTTTTTATAAATTTTATATTTTTATTATTATTATTATTTTTATCTTGGTTGCACAATGGGAGGCAACCATCTCTCATCCCTTATCTCACCCCACCTGCATGCCATGCGACTTGAACTCAATACCTCTTCCAGCAAAAGAAGATGACCATTGAACTATTTAGGTCGTTGGCAACTTTTAATTAGGATTGAGGGTGTGTACCTTTCTTGATTTTTGCAACCATGCATTTCATTCTAGTTTCATTAGTATTTAGTGAAATCTGTTCTTGGAGGGATGTTCCAATTAAAAATAGGAGTAGTTTGAGTGTTGTAAGGTAGCCTTTTGATAATTGATTTTTGATATATTTCAAAAGTGGATACTCGTGTTTTATGGGGAGCAATTCTCCTAATTTGTCCCTTTTGTTCAACTCTTGTGTCGCTAAGGTGGGTGATGCTAGAAGTCCTAGCATGTGAGTTGAGTCTACTCTCAACCCTACATCAGAAATGAAAATAAGGAAAAGGATTGACATAATTTATACTTATTAATCGGGATCTGAGTCCTAGTGATGTTGAATTGAATTATATATGCTTTGATTTCTTTCAATAAAATTCAGGCACTGGTACAGAACTCCAAGAGACTGCTTCTTTGAGATGTATTTACTCTAATGCTGGATTTAGGTCTGGACACTTTGTAGCTTCAAGCAAGCATTTAGGCCCTCTGGTAGTGAATTTTTTGGTTTCTTCATGTGCAATGAAAGAGGAGAGGAGGAGATTTAATTTTTGTTTACGTAGACACTTCATCTTGAACTTAATGCTACTGGCTTGCAAATTTGCAATATAGAATAAATTGTCATTAGGGATTGCAGTGTATGAGGGTAACATTTTTCCATAAATTTCGTTTCTCCTGGGCATGCATTCATTTGAATAAAAAGAAAGTAGAATTCAGCACCTTCTGCCCTTAGAAGTAAGAGACACCATCATGAATATACACTAACAAATCTGGTCAGGTGATACCAAAGCTTGACTGCCTCATTAGCTGTGTACAATGCTTGATTTTTACCAATGTCATTTGATACTCTGTACCTGATTTGACCTTCATCAATGATCTTTCAGGATTATATGCTGTTTGACCAGTTCCTCTACCATGGTGTGGCTGAAATGCCCGACAGGCACAGAGATATGCGCCTTGATGTGGATAACATGTCTTATGAGGTATATACACAAATCTTGCTACATCCCTTTCTGTTTCTTGTCATTAAAGGTTATTCCCCTTAACACCAACAACTGGAATATCAGGAATTGTTGGCATTGGAAGAACGAATAGGGGATGTGAGCACTGGACTGAGTGAGGAAACCATCTTGGAGCTGATGAAGCAGCAAAAGTATTTGTCGATTGCGTTGCAATCCTCACAAGATATGGAGCCATGCTGTATTTGTCAGGTACTGAGTTAAAAATAAACCAGATGGCAAACCTTAGATAGTTTTAGTTTAGATTCACTCTCTCACCTTCTAAAATCATTTCATGGCAGGAGGAATATGTGGGTGGAGATGATCTCGGGACATTAGATTGCGGCCACGAATTTCACGTCAACTGCATCAAGCAATGGCTAATGCAGAAAAATCTCTGCCCCATCTGCAAGACAACAGCCTTGTTTAAATGAGCAAAGCTAAATTGTTAAGAGGCAGAAATTTTATTTTTCTATTGTCATGGATCATCGTTAGAACCGATAAAAGGGCTTGGGTTGATCATAATATCGTATTTGAAACAGTTTTAATTTATCATAAACCGCATAACAACTTTTATGTAGACAGGGATTCTGTCAATGTAATGGAACTGCTGCATGAGCAACAAAAAGATTGGCGCTTCGAAGCGAAACGGCAATCATAAATGTACTTTTAAATAATATTCATGACGATATCAAGCATCTTATTAGGGTGCAAATAGGCTCTCTTTTTTTCCCTTTTTTAACATGGAAGTAGACCTGGCAAATGGGCGGGTTGAGTCGGGTTAGGGTTGGGTCAACTCGAGTGACGGGTTAGACGGGTTAGGTTATAAACGGGTTGCGGGTTATAAACATCCAATCTTAACTTGACTCTAACGGGTTACAGGTTGACTCGCGGGTTAATCTTATTTCATTTTTTATAATTATTTTTTGTTAATTTTATTATACACAAATAAAATTATATATATTTAAATATAATTAAAATATTGTGATTCATTAACACTAAATATTTCATAATTTCAATTACAAACATTTAAATTAAGAAAAAAATAAAAAGGTTATAAATAATAATAAATTGATTAATAATGAAAATATTAAACGTAAAATATTTAAATTTTTTGAAAAATAAAGTTTTAGTTTTATAATCATTTTGAAACATTATTAAGTAGTTTAATCCATTTTTTTAATGATAAAATTGCTCTTCCAAGAACATCTTTCACTAAGTTATTATGTTTATGTCCTAACATCACATCTTTTAATATTTTTAGTTGCATTATCATTTCATTCATGATATTTGAGTAATTGTTAATACCAAAATAATAATAATAATAATACTTGGGTAATTAGATTAAACTTATCATAATTTCTTTTTCTTTCTCTAGAAATTAGGGAGTATTAATTAATGGAACGAGTTATCAATAAGAAAATTAATTAAGGATGATAAGTATAATATTTAAAAATAATAATAAAAAATAAAACAAACGGGTCAACTCGTCAACCCGCGGGTTGACTCTAACCCGATCCGTGACCCATACGGGTTGATAATACGGGTTATCTACGAGTTGTGGGTTGAGATGTGTAGACCTTAACCCGTTTTTTAAGGGTCGGGTTAGGGTCAGGTGGATTTTTGCCAGGTCTACATAGAAGGGTTCATATGGGGGTTTTTTTTTTTTTTTGGAGGAAAAAGGGTTCAAATGGTTCTTCTTAATGTGTGTGTGTGTGTTTTTTTCTTAAATTTTAAATTGCATAATGAAAAATAACATTTATTTATTTTTTAATTCACTTTATTTACATTATTCAAATTTGAAATATTTTATTTTTACTTATGTATAATTATTATTAAACTACTCAAATTGTTGGTATACTTCTTTTTATTGTTTAAGATGGAGTTCTATATATGCAT